AGCATGATCGGTATGCGTACAGTAAAGGCAATGAGTCACATTATGACCTTATGAATCTTTTCTAAGGAAGATGCTCCTACCAATAGCTACGGAGTCAACACTGTAAAATCAAGATCACAGTAATAATTAGTTGATCAGCAAACACATGAATGCAGCATTGTAGACAATATTTTGTCCTTGTAATCCACGTTTCCATTGCAAATGATAGCCTTTAGATATTATTGGAAACTATTCAGAATCCCCCTCCTTAAAGGGGAAGGGGATTAGTATCGTAATCATTTAATATTGCATTGCAAATAAATTTTCATACACACAAAGCGATTACAGTACTGGTCCTACCAGGCTGGACATGCATTCTGCCATAAAACGTATCCGCCCTCTATAATGCACAGATGTTAATCTGATTCCATTTATTTTGATTTTACAGTGTCACATTTTAGGGTCTAGTTCTAGCTTCCAAACAGTAACATGGATGAGCAAGTGATTAAATCCGTGGTCAGTTTTATCATTGTCAGACTATTGCAAAAAAATTTTGCTATAAGATAAATATAAAGTTCAACATAATGTAAATGTAAATCTGGAAGCCATGCATTAGCTTGCTTTGCAAAACCTTTTTGATAAAACAACAATACTAAAAGGATAAATAAACAATCTACATGTTATATTTATCAGTTACTTTGTTGAACTCGAAGTTCCTTCACAGCTGAATGCATGCGCTCCAACTGTCGGGGGAACGCCTTCTATCTGTGGTACCTACCTTGGCACGACACCGGCCGATCAGCAGCCTCTCTGTGCTGATACTGGAAATGTGCATGTGTATTGTTGTGGGTTACAGTCAAATGTGTCGTTTGACTTTCCAACAGCCATATACAGTATGTAATTTTGGGACACTTGACAATAAACCTATTTTGTCATTTAGGTATGAGGATGTGTTGCAGCAATGAACCATAATATACAGCTACTGCATTGATGATGCAGGTGTCATGCTTAAACTCATATTTTTATTTAAAAAGAAACAATATTTTAATTCAATTGATATTCTATAACATATATCTTACTCAAAACACAAATTACTTACATTTTGATAACAAATAAGTACTTACTAGGAGTAGAAATATGCAAAAAATATTATCCTCTGAGGGTATCAAAATCACCAGGATTTTTTGCAACTTACAACTCAGCAGGGACATGTCACAAATGTGTTTCAACTCAATACACATCTGACTGGCTTACAATAAAAAGTGAAATTTATATAACAAGCTGCTGCATTGGAAGAAACATCTTACAGCAAAAAAGTGATGATGTCTTTATAACAGACATTTCTCACTAATGGGCAATACACAAAGAGGAAATCAATTTGGAATTTAAAAATTGAGCATTTTATATTTAAAGTAGATCTCATGCAGATGTCTATGAAGATTCTCAGTCATCCAGGTCATAGTTATCCAACGAAGGTTAAAATGAAGGGCAACTAGACTTGGTTGAAGCTTCAACCAAGTCCAGTTGCCCTTCATTTTAACCTTCGTTGTATAGATCTCATGCAGTCTGAAAATCCTTCTACAGTTTAATGTTACTATTAAACAGTAGTTTAATGTTATAAGTGAGTTAAACACATTATAACCTTGTTAAATATTTAAAAACTAAGGGATAGTAAAATAAAACAAAATGAAATTTCATAATATGTATTTTATTTTACCTAAAAAACCATGAGACATGTCTTTCTCTAGTTAAAGTTGCTCCTGTGCAATAAATCGGTTATGTCAATAGAGGGCGATAGAGAGCAAAAAGTGTGTGTATTCAGAGTACGTACACACACCGAAAATCCACACACATTTTCGATTTTGGCATCTTTTTGAGGACCTCTCTGAAACTTTGAGAGAAGCATATAAACAGACTCTAGAGGCCATTACAGTGAAAATAAAGTGAGGACCGGCCTAAATGTCCTCACTTTGCAAAATGGTCCTCACTCCAAAGGTTAAAAACCCTTGCTTGTCCTCACAAAGATAGCTGTACAAACACACACACACACACACACACACACACAAGATACCCCCCCCCCCCTTATTTCTCATCTCTCAGTGCCAAGCAGCTGTTGGGGAGACGAGGGGGAGGTGTTCCAGGAAAAGAGAAGCGTGTGTGTGTTAGTAGGGATGGTAGTGATTTGCTTCCACAAAAGGGTCCTTTTTCTGTATGACTGTATAACAAAGAGGCAGCTGGGACAATAAAACGTGGATGTTAAAATGTCAGCACTCCACAAGTGTGTTTGTATGTGCTTTTGTATGTTTTGCATGTGTCTACTCACATGTGTGTTCTGCCTCGGTCATCTCCTCTCCTCCCCCTACAATGACGAAGTGTAACATGGCACAGTGCCCCATAGTCACCGCTAGGGGTGCCATCGGCTCATAAATGAAATGAGCCGGCTCCGTGTGTGGATACCACAGAGCAGCCATTTTACAATCTGCACACCAGACCCCATTTTATGAATCAGCCATGATGTCAACATAGCTAAGCCTGATTCCATTGGCCAGAGAACAGCTGGAACTGAAGCTATTTTAGCAGGGATGCGCGCCCACACACACACACACACACACACACACACACACACACACACACACACACACACACACACCACACACACACACACACACAGGCTCACACTGACCGAGTGACATGATGCCTTCACTAGTCTAGTCCCAGACAAACTGGATTGTCTCTGCTTGAGATTATATACCATCCAGATAAGACGTTCATCTCTGCTTTAACATTTGTACTTCAGTGTCTTTGTACAAGTCTGCATGTGCATATTTGTACACGTGCACAGGTTCAAGTTTTTACTGATATTAGTAGAATTACTCGTAGATCTCTTTATTTCTCTCACTTTTATCTTCAGAGGTATTATTTCCCTCATTCTACGTGCCACTGTCTTGAAGAAGTGGATTATTTTAGGTCGTTATCAGTCTCCCTGTTTGTGTCTCTGTCCTAAAGATTCCTCACTTCCTTCGAGTTTCTTCCTAAACTTTGAGCTGTGTTTATGTGTTTGTCCGAAGATATTTATGTTGTTTCCTCTCAGATGTCCTGATGGATTTTCCTACCCTGTGTGTGTGTGTGTGTGTGTGTGTGTGTGTGTGTGTGTGATGGTTGACTTCCTACTGTGGTTTCCTGCTCTCAGCAGGGACTATGGCTGCAGTGTCAGTCACACAATAGTGTTATTGATTCATGATAGTGATATACACAGCCGATTATATTGATATAGCACAAAATACATGCAAACAGAGAGAAGTACAGAGTTCAAATGGATCACATTGCCCTAAACTGTGAGCCAAACTTAGTCGCATGTGATGGTTGATTCTGAGAGAGGAGTTTCATAGAGCTAAAGCTGATGCTGAGTGAAACAATGGGACTTATTGAGGCCACAGTCCACTGACTGACTGTTCTGTGTATGAGTGTGTTCTGAATGAATGGCTAAATGGAGAGATGAGGAGCTCATTAAGATGCCTGGACTCGTTAACAGACTGTCCAACTGATTGGCCTCTCACATAGAGACAAAGCATTGTTTGACTAGTTGTATGGAAAGTTGGACAGCTAGGTGAATGAGTTGTTACGCTGTAGTGGCTATATCTCTGTCTCTTTTCACCAGTCTAACACGCTGCTGTTGAATGTGGACAGATTGTGGAAAAAATATGGTTTAATGAGGAAGTGAAGAAAAATGGCCACATATGCAGTAGAGAGCTCAGCATTCCTAAGGTAAACCTAAATTACACCTACAAACGTAAATACATAGTAGTAACACTGGTAATTAGGCAGCCTTAAGTAGGACTGTCATAACAACATCTAGTCGTTATTTGACAGTGGTTACAGTAGTTTCAGTCCAGATAGTCTGTTGTACACTTCATTTTAGCCTCTGATGTCATTACATGAGGTCAGGCAGTGGAAACAGGTGGGCTGCTCTGCACACAGGGGCTGATTTTGATTTGTATTTTTTGTCTGTGTGTTTCAGAGGCAGACTGCATGCTCTTATTGTACTTGCTGTACCAGCACTCTTGCTGGCTGTTTTCCCGACAGTGATTCTTGTTTCCTGTTCCTGCCTGGTCTTTACAAAGATAAGGCAGTGACAAGGTCGGATAGAGACATAGACAAAACCTACAGAGAGACTGGAGGAAAGAGTAGGTGGTATAGATGCTCCTGTCTCCTGTTTTTGTGTGTGTGTATATATATATATAATATAATATAAAAATTATCAGTTTTATCAATGACATTTTCTCGTTGATCAACTATAGATTCCATAACTAATCATGACATACTGTATTTGTCATGCACTTTCAGATGAATGTGAAATTCAGTGTGAGTGGTTAGATAATGGCAGTAAGCAGTCGTGACATCTAGTTTTCCGCTGACCTTAGATCTCATGTGTACAGTTGGCTGTTATGTGGTCAAACCCATGTGCTTGTTCATCTTTCACTCCTCATTCTCTGCCAGTGCACATTCACCCCTACACGCTGACACATCCTTACAGTCACCATCCTGACCTTGTCAGAAAACGTTAATGTGAAGTGTTTGTCAAGTGTGTGTGTGTGCGATAGACTGTACTGTATATGCATGTGTCTAAGCTGATTGCAAACTTAAAATGCCTTACAGCTAGCAAATGTCCAACCATATTTACCAGGCCCACACACAGCAGGGGGACATCTTTCCCCCAGTCTTGCAGCCATTTCATAGTAGTTCCATCTTACCCAAGGCCACTGATACAATAATCCTAACACCTCCATGACACCATACAGTTGGGGGAGTGGGTGAAAAAAGTAAAGGCTGTGCCAAGTCTGTCAGTTTTTATAGCCATCACACAGGCCCTCTATCCTTTCCTCTATCCACTTCTCTAAATTACTGAACCTACTGATTTTACTACTGTCCTTCTTTGCAACACTATTTCTATGCATATCCATTCATCTTACATTAAGAAAGTTACCAAGAAATGTAATTTCTAACAAAGTCTTCTTTTTCATCTGTCCATTTCTCTATCCACCTCTCCAGCCAAAATGGAGCAGGATGGCGGAGACGAAAAGAAACAGACGCAGAAGAAGAAGGTGAAGGAGCTGAAGATTCTCGACTCTAAGTCTTCACAGAACCTTTGTAAGTCCACAGATGCCCATCTGTTTGTAAGACTAACATTCCTCTTTAAATGCATTTAGTGAACACCACTATTGAAATGCCAACTATAAAGTGTGTTCAACTGAATCCTTATTAGATTTTAGATCGTAGTAATGAAAAGTGCTGGTAATTGTGTTTGCTCATACAGCCATTTTTCTGGGATCGTTCCGTATCCCATATGAAGAGATCAAGAACGCTATCCTGGAGGTTAATGAGAAGATCCTCACAGAGTCCTTGGCTCAGGTACATAGTTCAGATCTTCCTCAGTGTTGGTATATAAGGTTCTGTGTATGCATCCAGTCATGTTTGTATGTCAATATGGGTTCTTTCAGTTTAATGTGTATGTAGCTGTGTGTAGAATCATGAGTCAAGTTAATGAATGGGATAAAAGTGTACTGAGCTTATATTCTTGTGACAGAAAGCCTCTGCCTTGTTGATGTGTTCGTCAGCAGGACATTTTTTATTTTATGTAACCTTTATTTATTGAGTGTCTCTTCAGATCTCTTTTACAAGAGAGACCTAGCCAAAATGGTAACTTAAGATGGGTATTGCGTAGTTACGTAAGAACACATAAACTTCTGGATACTTCACACAGCTCATTAGCTGAACCTGCACACGGATCATCCTTTACAGTGGAATAACCCACAGAAAAAAGTTTCTCTTAAGGGTCAATCAATCTGTCTTTGCTAAAGGAGTAGTTTGGGACACATGTATGTGGCACAAACAAAGTGTCTCCAGATCCTGTTTGTCATGTATGTTTTCCTCTTTTTGCCACAAAGAACCTGATCAAACAACTGCCAGCGCCGGAGCAGCTGAGTGTCCTGGGAGAGATGAAGGATGAATATGATGACTTGGCTGAGTCCGAACAGTTCGGAGTAGTGGTGAGGAAACGTACATACAGAAATGAAGAAGCACATGAATTAGACCATGTTGTTTTTGAAAAATCTGTTGAATTTGTAGCTGACTTGTACATGACCACAAACATTGCAGGGAAATCTGTGAAAATGGCAAATGAGGCATATGGGACATGTTGAAATACTGAGTCATACCGTTGTCACTATGTTAGACACAGAAAATCCTCACCCTGTTACACACAGACTACTTTGTTCAGCTGTGGAATATGTGAGCTTAAACACAATTAAGCACACACACACAATCCATGTGGCAACAAACATATGAATAGGTCTGAACACCCCCCCCCCCCCAGATGTCCAGTGTAAAGCGGCTGACGCCACGGCTTCAGGCCATCCTGTTCAAGCTGCAGTTTGAGGAGCACCTAAACAACATCAAGCCAGACGTGGTGTCTGTGACGGCAGCCTGTGAGGAACTCAGGAAAAGCGAGACATTCTCAAAGCTGCTTGAGATCATCCTCCTTGTTGGGAACTACATGAATGCTGGCTCCCGTAATGGAAAAGCATATGGCTTCTCCATATCATACCTCTGCAAGGTAAAATGAAGTGTAGATATAGTACACAAACACACGCTGAAAACTAAATGAATGCACCAGCTTCTTTGGCTTCACTTCAGTTATTTTCAACACTGAATTATATCTGAACCAGAGTCAATTTCTGGGCCATATTATTTAGTTTTATACAGTTGAGTGACGAGAGGGGTCTACATAAAACATATATAAGTTGAAACATTAGCAACAACATTAGCTTTAGGTATTTAATTTATATAACACAGACATGAACATGTACAAATGGCCCAGTGATTCTGTCATGGGTACAGTGATGCTACGCCAAATTAGTGTAACAACAGTGATGTCTGTATTCATTTTATTGTATTTTTATCAGATTTGTAATGTGGAAATATGGATGCACAGTCAGAAGTGCATAAACATCCATTGACACATCTGTAAACAGAAAAGTGTGAAACACTGACAGCCCATGCAGACATGAAATAACTTTCCATTGATTGCCTTTTCAGTGTGCCCTTTTTTAAATCAATCCTTCTTCCAATCAGCTGCGTGACACCAAATCAGCTGATCTGAAGCAGACCCTGCTCCATTTCCTCGCTGATGTGTGCCAAGAGCAGTATCCCGAAGTCATGAGCTTTCCAGACGAGCTCATCCATGTGGAAAAGGCCAGCAGAGGTACATGGGACACCTAACTGATCTCCATACTTCTCCAGCCCTACATAGTATCATCCATTACAATCCCTCGTTACACATTACATTCATCTTATTGATGCAGTGTGCTATCATATATAGGTGTACCAATGTAGCTGCTCTGCATCATTAATGTTTCCCCTCTGTCTCCTCCAGTGTCTGCAGAGACAGTTCAGAAGAACCTTGAGCAGATGGGCCGTCAGATCAAGAACCTGGAAAAAGATCTGGAAACCTTCCCCCCTCCACAAAGTGACAAGGACCTTTTTGTGGAGAAGATGTCCATATCCTCTTTATTCAGTTACATATTTGAAATATTGATTGCTTTGCCAGAATATTAAAACCATAAACCTTGTCATCCTGAATTATCATTTCTATATATTGTTAAAATACAGAGGCTGTGGTCCGATGTTCCTTAACATTGCGTCTCCACAGTTTTGTGAGTCTCGCCCAAGAGCAGTATGAGAAGCTGGATCTGCTGCATAAGAATATGGAGAAGCAATATAACGACCTGGGAGACTACTTTGTCTTTGACCCGAGAAAGATCTCCATAGAGGAATTCTTTGGCGACATTAACACCTTTAAAAACATGTTCCAGGTGTGTTTATGAGCATGTGAATTAACTAACTGAAGTCTGAACTGTGAAGGGCACAAGTGTGGTTTTCTTAACTAAAACCCTCATATCAAATAGTTTCACATACAAAGACATACGACAGACACACAAGTGGAGTTGAAAAAAATTAAGATGAAAGACAATTGTCAAACTAGAAAGACAAATATTGCTGTACACCTGTGTGTATTGACATAATAATGAATGAGAGTGACTTCATTATATTGTCAGTTTATATATCAACTGTAAATGTGGCGTTTGGGAGGGCAGGAGGTAACTTGTTTTACCAGTTATTGTAGATAACCATTATATCCATCAGATCCGTCATACATCTGTCTGTTTGAATTTTGTTCTAAGGATCACTTTGTTTTCACGCTAGGTTATCCACACCATCACACTAAAACGTAATTAGCATACATGCACTGTCTGATATTTTCTCTTTCTCCCCCCCATCAGCAAGCAGTGAAGGAGAATCAGAAGAGGAAAGAGGCTGAAGAGAAGATCAAGAAGGCCAAACTGGCCAGGGAAAAGGCGGAGAAGGAGAAGGAGGAGAAACTCAAGAACCAGCTGCTTGACATCAACGCAGGTCACAATTGCTGGATCATATATGTTTACCTGCGTGTGACTGAAAGAGAAACAGTCCACCACTCTGTCTGTGTTTCCCTTAGATTCCAGTTGGGGGCAGTCAGAGTCCACGCTTCTGAGGAGTGTGTGTGTGTGTGTGTGTGTGTGTGTGTAGAAGGACCCATCAGTATTTATTGCCCGGAGTTAATCTAATGTAGATGACATGTGTTTTGAAGTAAGCAAGTAATGTGAGGACAAGAAGGATGTACACAATGAACCGCTTGACCTCTTTTCACTTCTCTAGTGAACAGGGGATTTACCTCCACAATAGAGAGCTGATTGAACGCCTAAATCTCTTTAGCACCAAAAACATGTTTCCACTTTTCTGTGAGATGCTGTTATGTGTCACACACACACACAAATTCTCACTCTCTAATCTTCGTATACACACTGTCAAATCCTGACTTGCAGATGCACATTTATGCACAGGCACTTTTTCCCCTTTCTCTCAGACTGTGACCTAGTTTCAGTACATTCCTCCTCTCTCTGGCTCCAGTCGAGTTCTCCTGGGACTCTACAGTTCCACAGTCAAAATCTGCTACAGCCTCAGTGCAGTCTGTGTATATGTGTATGTATGTGTGTTACAACATCACTTCTTGAGAATGTTTGTTTTGCTTTACCTACGGGTTGGAGAACTCTGGTCAAGTGTTTCTGCGCTGTGTGTGTGTGTGTGTGTGTGTGTGTGTAAGCCTAAGAATGTTTATCTATGTGTCTGTTTTGTGAACCTCTTTTACAAAAAGTCTTTCTTGCCTTTCTCCTAGTGCTGCACATTCCAGCTGGCTTCTCCTCTGCTCTCTTTCTTGCTTTTGTTTCATCACTCCCTCTTCTTTTTTCCCCTTACCTCCGCCTGTGTCTGCCATTCATTTAAAGGGCATTATAACCCACAGAAAGCACTGAGGCTCTACTTGCAATATTTTGTCTCTGTGTTGAAAGCAGACATTTTGTGATAGAAAGTAAGGTTGTCAAATTTCATGTTCAGCCTCTAGAGGCATGCGCGAAAGGAACATAATAGTGCTTCAAAGATGAGTGTGTGTATGTGCATTAGTGGGCTAGAGATCATTTACATACAGGTGGCATATTTGACTGCCTCTGTGGCTTGGAGTCATTCAAAACTCCTCAATTTGAATTCAGCCACAGACAAATCTGGCATAGACACACCTGGCCTTTGTTCTGTGTTTGTTTATAACCCTCATACTCTATGGCTATTACACAAAGGTTCTTTTCAGCAGCTACACTTTCACACACTCACATTTGCTTTGTTTCGTTTTTCTCTACTACTCTCCCACCCATGCACTCACATACCCTTACTATCTTTGAGTGTTCCACTTTCTCACTTTCTGTCTCTCTGTAAACATGATATCCCAGTTATTGGTTAAACCCCGGAAGGTCAGTGTGTGTTTGCCATTTGTGGCCTTGTCATTCCTATGTGAGTCAGACAGACAGACGCTCACTCAGTGGAGCCTCACTTTGTTCATGTGCTAAGCATGTGATGGTAACTATTATGAATAATAAGAGTCTTCTGAGACTCTTATTAGATTATTACTTATGTCATCTTTTAATAATGTAATCATTAAGTGCTTTTAATTTGGCTCTATTTGGCTCTTATGAAACATGGAAGTTCAGGATTCAGGGCACCAGACTGCCAAAGTACCTGGATGCCACATTCACTATATGTGCTTTAAGTAGAAGATCTTCTAATTTTCTCCGATAAATACTGTCTACCACTGTGAGGAAAAATCTATCCCTGGTTGTCATACACTCATCTTTGGAAATATGCCAGACAACTTGGCAACTGACTTATTCTTATTTCTACAGCTAGGTGTCAGTACTGTCTGTAAAATATTGTATGAGGCTGTGTGCTGTTTTGTATGTGGCAAAGGGTGTGTGCATGTGTGATTTACACACCCACACTGATGCTGGTATGGGAACTGCCACTAGGAGTGCTCGTGCTCTACACAGCGAGTAAGTGAGAGAGTAGCATGGGGGAGGGGAAGGAAATGCAGAGAGTAGGGCAGCAGATGTTGTCTTGGGGATTAGACTGTGTTGATGTCTCTTAGAAAAGGGGGAATGAGGAGGAGAGCAGAAAAGCACAGGGTAAGCTGGTGGATGAGATAGGATAAGCCTGGGTAGCCTGATGTCTCTCCCCAGGCTGCCGTGAAAGAGGGGCACAATCATGGCACATTAGGAAAACTCTGTCCAACCCACTTGAACACTGTCTTTCTATCTCATACTACTAACTAGTTTCTCTGTTTATATGTCTGTGTTTATTGTTACTTCTGGTTTTTTTCCATTCATCTCCCCACGTCCTATTGTGTGAACATCCTTTAGGGGTACTAATGCTCCACACATGATCCTGTCCTCCCTCTGTGTGTGTGTCAGATAAATGTGTCTGTGTGTGTGTGCATTCAATATAGATCAGATCCAAAAAGGTGTGTTTAAGAGCTCATGATCTAATGCTGTTACACTAATTAATCCGTCTTATGTTCTTACTTGCTTCAGGCAGTACCTTGCTGTGTGTCATGCGCTGTTGTGTGTGTACAGAGTGTTTGTGCTTGTGCTGTTCCCAATCCATACGGTTGTTGTACTGTCTGACTACGCCACCACCACTTTTTGAGGCCATTTCAATATTGATTGTCAATAATAACCCCATTAACCAGATATCTGTTCCACAGAAAGTCATGTGGATTAACAAGAGCACATGATTATCAACAAGGGATTGAACCCAACAAGTGTGTTTCCCCCAATATTATCCCTATTACTAATCATTAAGAAACCAAACATTGTAAAGCTTCACTTTGATAAAGAAGACTCATATATGGCTTTATCTAATAGCCTTACCCTAGGCCACACTTGCAAAGAAATACTAGAGTTCAATGTATTCTATACAGTAACGTCCCTCATTCATTCTAGCTTAGTTCAGAGTTCACTCGGTCAACAGTAAGCCTGTTTCATACAAAACCTGGTCATTGTTTGGCCTCTTGATTGCCTCCAGTACATATTCACAAATAGGTTTGTGTGTCTGTGTGCTTCCGCCAGCGGTTTAAGTCAACCACGTGATTTAGTGTGAGTGGAGATGTGCCAGATGTGTTTCCCCGGAAGGAGAAAAACATGGCCTACATCCTTCTGAACTATCTGTGCAGTTTCAGTACATGGACATTGAGGGGTGTATCTGAGCTATGGAAGGCCTGGGAAGTGTGTGAGAGAGACTTTCTCTGACGTGACAGGCGAGACCACAGGCCATCTGCTTCATGGCTTACTGCAGGATTAAATATATTGTGTGTGTGTGTGCGTGTGTGTGTGAGGTTGGGGGTTGGGGAGGTGAAGACATAAACCTTTAACCCCCCAACCTCACTGCCCCTTTTTTCCAGACCCCTCTGTGTCTCTGTTCAGGTCCAAATATAAATAATTAAAACCATCTGCTTGAGCGCTGAGCTGTGCCACTGAATCCTGCCCACAAAACAATTATTACGACACTCACACACTTATATACATAGCATCATTGCCATGGCCCCCTTCCCTGATTTAAGGGATGGGGGGGGTGTTTGCTATACAGCTGTTTGTGTGCTGTAGAGGTTATCTCCCAGAAAGTCCAGTGTGTAGCCCCTTGCAATGACAGTAGCTGAACTAGGTCACTGCCTATCTGGGTTAATGTTGCTAATTTGCTCACGTGGCTGTGTTGGCGTGTCTAAGAGGAACAGCGATAGGTAGAGGGTTTAGAAAAACCATTAATTACTCATCAGTTCTTGGTAAAGAAAATGTGTATATGTCAGGGTTGTATTGATTTAAAATAACATGATTGTGATAATGGAGTGGTGTGTGTATATGTGTGATATAAATAAAAGTTGAAATGTGACTCCACATATTGATTTAATCCAGTGTTTGTTGATGCATTGCTGATGTTATGTTTTGATGCTGTGTTTACAGAGGGTGATGAAACGGGTATCATGGATGGCCTTTTGGAGGCGCTGCAGTCTGGCGCTGCTTTCAGGAGAAAGAGAGGGCCACGCCAAGCAGGTACTCATTCACAAGCAGACCAGTAAATGTTCACAAAACATGCAGATGTTTCAAAGCATCTTGTATTACTTGATTTACAGACTTCTGTTTCCTTTCACACACCATCTATACTATCCAGAAACATGTGTAGCATATGAGACTCATTTTTTCCATCTCCCTCTTCCTCTCTGTCTCTATGTTTCTGTCAACACACAACAACAGATTTGTGTCCCCCTGTTTCTGTTCCATCTGCCGCATGGCTCAGAGACTGTGGTTTTGGAAGTATGCTTTGGTCATGGTTACGGGGGGGCAAAGGCAAGTCCACCAATGATTGGCATAACAACAAGAGAAGAGGGAGGGTGCTAAGGGTGCATGTGGGCAGCAGGATACTTAGGAGACAGACAACTGGTGAGGGTGTGGTTGTGGAATTGGAAAAGAGGAATATGAATGTAGAGCTGAGGAGGATAAACCAGAGTGTGGGTAGAAAGTTTAAGGAAGTGGGATCAGTGAGTGGGCAACATATTTTAACAACTGGCTAAAGTATGAAGAAAATATGAATTGTTAAAGTCCCCTGCCACACAATAAAGTGTTTTGCTTATTGTTACTTCACTTGGATCCTTGACCTTTACTTTGTAGAATGATGATTGTACATGTATCAGTTTGACACTATAAGGCTGTTTTCAGATTAATCTGCTAAAGAGGAAACATTTGTGTTCACCTTAAATCTGAGTTTAAATAGCCCCATATTGAATTTACACTAGTGTGATGTGAAAACTTAAAACCTCCAGCGCACATACACTGAGAATGGAAGTAGTAGATGCGTTTCTCATGGTTTTATGGCAGGTTTTGAAACCCTAGCTCATTGTTAACATGTACACAAAATATCATTATCATAAAATCTACACTATCTAAATCAGTTTCTCCATTTCATCAAACACTGTTCCCGTCATTACTGTGCCAGACAGAAGTCCTTGTCCTATATGTGAGGACATACTCCTGAGCATAACTCCAGCCTGTATTGATTCATTCAGGTCATGTTATTCACTCTAAGCTCATAGAGGCAGGCCAGTAATCTGGTTAGCTACTTACTCCGCTGTCTGTCCCACTGCCCAATCCAGTTACATTCACTTATTGGAGAAAAGAGTATTTTTCTCTTACTTTTATTTTCTGTTTTTAAACTTGTACATGTAGGACATTATGGGGACAATGAAATGGTAAATGAAAACGAGGCACTGTGAGCTGTTAGGATAGTAACTTTGTAACATGACACCTGGTAGTAGGGAACTTGTGTGTAACCATGTGAGTGGGAAAGTGTCCAGTGCCCATTAACTGAGAGAGAGCCTCTGTGTGTGTGTGTGTGTGTGTGTGCACGTTTGCGCGCATGCTTACATGCACTCATGTGTGGGTTGAGTATTCACACATAACAGAGGCCCGGGAAGAGTGTGTGCAACCCAATACCTCTCTCAATAGAAGCCAGATGTGAAGCGGCGCTCCAGAGTGGAATTGCTTAGAGCACTCTGCAGCATTCTTTATTTTTATCTTTTCTTTCTCTCTCGTTTTTTCTCTCTGTCTTACTTTTCTTTCTTTCTTTCTTTTATCTCTCTCTTTCTTTCTGTCTTTAAGTCAATCACTAAACTAATTTACATAGCCTTTTAGCTCTAATTATGCATAGCTATTAAACAGGGTTCTGACAAGTGGTCCTCAGTGGTCCACTAAGTCACACTGAGAAAATATGTGCAGTAAACTCTCTTTAATCACAAATGGCTCAGGCTCATCACCACTGAACGGACTGTGACAAGATTGAAAGGAGGAAATTGAGAGAGAAGCGACAAAAGGAGCACTGTATGAGAAAAAAGGGGCCCACTTAAGGGGCTCAGTCAGTCACCCATAATACTGTTTGGCCACCTCACATTCATAACAGGAAATACCTTAACATGCGTGTTAGAGAGAGAGAGAGAGAGAGAGAGAGAGAGAGAGAAAAACTCTTGTCTGTGGTAGGAAAGAAAATGAAAATATAGGAGGCTGTATGTATCACATCTCTGCTCACTGCCTCCTTTCTGTCTCCTCTTTTCCTCCTCGTCTTGTCATTTTGGTTTTCCTTTGCCAAAGTTCAGGGTTTTCCGTGGCTGATGTGGAGGGTGTGAAGCCTCGCTGTGGATTTGTTCACTTATGTTTTGAGACTGCTCCTTTCTAGTTAGTTACTTTGTTTCTTAGCCCCGGGAAGAGCCTTAAGTCCTTCAGCTACACTATAGGAGTGTGTCTGTGTGTGTTGGTTGAGTCAGAGGTCTTAATTTAGTGGAGCTGAAGTAGGGGGAGGCACATCCTGACTTTGGCTCAACTGATACATATCTGGCACCACTGGCTCCACAGGCAGCCTGTATCAGCAGGCTAAAACACTATCCAGGTCATGTACGCATGTATTTTTAGTGCTTGCTCCATAATGTGTAATACGACGGGTCAAAAATGTGACTGAGTCATGGAAGGATTTCTGTCAAAATAGATGCATTTGAACAACATGCCACTAGCCCTGAGGCCAGTTGAATCAGTTTCTCATCTTACTCATTTAAATTTTTTGTCCATCCGTGTTTAGTGCTATTACCTGTCCGATGTCACGTAATGTTCATCCTCTGATCTATAATTAAGCAAAATTGCATTGAAACCATACATTAAAACTGGAGTTTCATCCGCCTGATATCCTAACACAGTCACCTTGATATATTAAAAAACAGTGCTTAGGCTAATTACGTCCGCATTTAAGGAAACTGGAGTATTAATCGGGAATAACGTTGGCGTCAAGATGCCTGTTTTCACTTCAGAAATGATAATTCATCTGGAGTATGAATGTTAAGTATAATGAAGCATTACATAAGATTTCCCCCAATTGAGAAAAAGTATGTACTCACCCTAATTACGATTGTGGTTAAGTTCTTTAAGCATGTTCTGGTTATTAGTATAGTAATTATAATAAATAATGAAGAAGATTATCCATTAATGTGGTGGATCTGTCTTGCTGCTCTATCAAATATCTCTTAACTCTGGGTTAGTTAAACATTTAGTATGTTCAGGGAGATTGGTTATTTTTTAATAGAATGCTAATGTGTGCATCAAGCTACTGAAGCATGACAAAGCCCAGACATTGTTTCATCAGAGGGCATCTCACATTACTGTCTGTATTAACATATGTAATGTCTCAAGAGTTAGAATTCAGCTTGTTCATTTGCTCACACTAAAAGATTGTCGTGGGAATGATCAAGCATTTCTGATTACAATCAGCATGTCCCAGATGTGGTCAGAAGCACAGGAGGGCAGGTAAATAAGGACACACCATTCCTCTCACAGCAAAGTGGTAGGTGAAAACTCACTTGGCCGAAGTTGGGCAGCGGTGGCTCAGGATGTGAGCGTGTCATCCACTGAGCAAACACAGATGTGTACATTAGGTTCCATGATAAATTGACATTGACATTTTAAGTCTTTCCATGGCTTTAAGACACCTTCATAATGTGGCCTGTTTTAGCAACAGTGTATATCCATAGATAATACAACACAAAATTGACACATGACACACATCACAGGTACAGACCTTTAAAACTCTTGTTAGCAAAGTCTGAGTAAATCTCATTAACACTGTTTATTTTACATACATTTATGTAAAATAAATAAATTATGGTACATGTGGACTATATTGATTTCTTATCCAAAATGTCCATGACTACCTGAATAGTAAAATTATTAGCTAATAATAGTCCCTTTTTTAACATTTTATCAGAGCTGTTGGGCTAGGCTGTGGGACATCAGACAGTGAACAAAGACAGGCTGAAAAATAACACAAACTGCTACCAACTTTCTGTGACCACCTTAAGTTATGACTTGGAATAACAGTCAAATATATTATGGTCTCCATTACGTGAAGTGTGCCCCTCCTTTCCCCTCCTCTTTCTTTATTCCCCTCACAGCTGGTGACTGCAAACGTCACCAACTTGGTGTTAAAGGACTACTGAGGGCCCATTGAGTGTGTTGCCATGCTCATTGTGTCACAGCAGTATCACTGAATGGAAGGCCACGAGGCTTCAGAGGCTATATACCCCATCACCTTTGACCTGTACCTCAGCTCGCGTATCCTCAGCTGTTTACCCTCTGTCTGTCCCCCCCCCCTCTTTACACACATACAAACAAAACGCAACCACCAGATGCTTGCATGCCAATACAAAGACACACATTGGTGTTTGCGTACCAATACATACACCTAAAAAAGGAATGCTAGGTTCCAGAGGACAGACAGCCTTATATCCTTTCAAGCACTATCACACTCTGGCTCTCTACTTTAGATAGTTATGGTCTGTTTTGTATGAATACAGTCTTGTCAGCTTGGCAACATTAGGCTAATTTGTGTGTGTACGTGTTTAAACAATTTAAGGGCACTCGTGTGTAGAGGAATGACGTTTCTAAACACTCACTATAGGACCCATCTGCTGGGTCATGACCCTTTCCAGAGCAACCCATCACAGTAGCAACAAGTTGACAAAGAACCAGTCACAACAGAAAGACTGAGATAAAGGGGATAGCAACAATAGAGGCACACGCTGGCTCTGCAGAGGCTCTGCTCATACAAAAGAACAAGACAACCCCTACAAAGATCCTTGCTTTCACAGATGTTCTCACAGGAGAGATAATTCAGACCAATAGGAGAGCATTGATCAATCAAGCCATTGCTGATGCAGTGGTGATGTCACATGCATACTTAACACCCACTGAAACAATACAGACCAGAAAGCCACAGATGTGCACCAGTTGAGCTTGCGCATCAATACTAACCCACAGACACAAGCCAGTAGTGGTGCTAGATGACGTTACTCTTTCCCACAGTCCTCTAGTGTAGAGCAGGAGTGTGATACGCAGTGTGGCCTGAGGAGGGTGATATAAGTCCCTGCTAAGTTGGAGACACTGATGTAGGTTCAGCCTGCATCTGCAAATATTCCATCGTGCTAGTCGTGGCACTGTTACCATGTTGTCATGTGGCTGTGGCTTTGCTGCAGCTGCTCTACTGACAATAAACCAAGAGCATAAAGATGGCTTCTTCCTTCCTTACACCATGCAGATCTCCCCTTCATTAAGGTGCACGGTAGGCAAGATGTGGGTATTCAGAGCTATTTCTCGTTACCTTCTGGTCCCAGCCTGCCCTCTGCTAGCTTGTCTGCAAATTATCTCCTCTCATAAGGGCAGCAGTCACATACAGTACAACAAAGCGTTCTTTCCCTCATTAGGTAGTCATTATTGCATCTCCTGGAGTGTAATGTGTTACAGATGATCTTTTCACCACACTCTTTGTGCCTCTGATCGCCCCTCAGTGTGCATTCAGTCTCACTCCCACCAGTAAACAGACCTAAACAGTCTTTGTTGTGAGTCCTGACGTCTCATTTCCTACTGCTGCACACACCAGGCTTCATGCCAAGTGCATGGATCGTTTAGTCAACATCACAGGAAATTCTCAGCATGTGGGTCATATCCAAAAACTTGCTATGTTTGAAGTGCCACGTGTTAAAGGGTTACTCCAGCGATTTTTGTTCTACTTTTGCAGTACCACAAGTGTTTTGTGTTTATTGTCCCCAATAAATGCACTATTTACTCCTATTAGGGGCAGCACTAGCTCAGTCCGTGGGAATTTGACTTGGGAACCAGAAGGTCACTGGTTCGAGTGTGCATCACCCTATCAGTCATGTGGAGTGTGGATGGGTAGCTGGAGAGGTACCTCCTGGGCAGTGCTGAAAGTGCCGTTGAGCAAGTCCCTGAACCCCCAACTGTTCAGAGCGCCTGACTACATGGCAGCTCTCTCACTCTGAAATCTCTCCATGTGTTAATGCACGTGTATAGATCCTGTTTGTCCGTGTGTGTGTATTTTGGACCTCTGTGAATGATGGTGGTGGTGATAATAATAACAATAACAACAGAGTGAAACAATTGAATTTCCACTAGCAGGATTAATAAAGTATGTTGTCTTCTTTTCTTCAACTTTTTCTACTTCTTCTACTTGTACTTATTGTTCTTATTATTCCATTTTAATTATGGTAACTTTAAACTAAAGTTTTAGAAAAACTAGTTTCCATTTTTAAGGAAAGTGTGTATATATAACTACTGACCTGTTTTCAAAGATTTAGATATATAGAATATGGCCAGCCTCTTCTTTTAAGCCCCTTTCATATTTGATGTGTTATCTATGTAATGTGATAAATGTTGAAACTAACTTGATATGCTTATTTAATACTGCCTATCAGGTGATGACATTTGCTCCTGAGGACGTTTGTTCATGTATTTTAATTATGTTTAAATATAGAGAAAATCATCTGAGAATTTTCCTATCAGGTTTCTGTCTAACTTCATCTTTTTCCCATGCTGCTTCCAATGCAACAACCCTCTGATCCTGACTCTTATCCCTCTCTCCATTCCTTCTCTCTGTCTTCTCTCTGAAGAGGGAGTGGAGGAGGATGAGAGAGGAGAGGAGCTGGGTTGACAGCCTTTGAAGAGCTTTCCTCTGCGGGTTTGATTTTTTTAGGACAGGCTCGACACAGTATACGTACACACAGAATAACTCCCACACTGACGCACACTCTTTCTCTCGGTTTATGGGCCATTTGCATAATTTCTAATTAGTTAGTTTATGAGTAAGGGAGAGGCTTGGAAAGGGACGGAAATAGATATGGTAGGATGAATGTGAGAGTAGACTGAAAAAGAGATGAAGTGTTCCACGTGTTTCTAAGAGATGAAGAGTGATCTGTGTCTCTCTCCAAGAAAGTATGTGAGGTGATAATTTGACACCCCAACTGTCTGATCAGTCCAGCTGAGCCTCTCACATAAAGAAGACAAGTCAACTGTGAACATGACTCTAAATCCTTCCCCTCCTCTTTCTCCACAGACTCAATTGTGTCTTTGTCACAGCTAGTTCTGGAGACCTGTTCGGTAACTTTTTTTTTGTGTGTGTTTTTTGTTTTTTTTTGTTTTTTTCTGAGAACCATGTGTCAAAACTTTAGTTTGTGTTACCATGGTTCATTTGCATGTGTATTTCTGTGGTTGTGTATCATGACGACCTGTTTTTTTTTTCTAATCAGTATCACAGGAACACATTACATTGATGTGTGTGCTTGTAACAAATGTCGTGTACTGATGCTAACTTTTTACTTGCCTCTTTTGCCTGAGGAGGGAAGCGTTCTAAACATAAAAGGCATACAATAACAGCAAACACAATCTCCCACTGACCTATATAATTCAAAATGGCCGCTGCTGCACAGCTGTCCTCCCACACAGGAGAATGAAGAGTAGTAAAGGATAGAGGGAGGGAATGAGAGATAAAGGCAAGGCTGGTGTGTGTGTGCGTGCGTGCGTGCGTGCGTGTGTGTGTGTGTGGGAGGAGGGGAAATAACAGAGTAAGCAGGTAGAAGAATAAAAACCTCAGGGCACAATCTGTCACATTCGCTGTGTTTCTCTTTCCGTCCCTGTGCATCTCTACTCTTTTTTCCCTGCATCCACTATTTATCTGTGGTCCTTTTTACTACTAGTCATTCCTTACGTTCCTCCTCTCACTCAGTCTCTCCATCCATGTCCATCTCATTTTCATTCATCCCTGCCTCTTTAATCTTCCCACCGCATGAATCATCCTGCTCCCCATGGTGTCTCATCCTTCCGTCCTCTGTTACCCTTTCCTTCCCTCCTTGCTTTTACTCCTTCATCTCAGTCCCACTTCCTCTTCCTTTAAATGTCCCTTATTCCTCGTCTCTCTTTCCATCATCCTTTCCACCTTGTCAGGATCAAGTTGAGTCTAATCTGACATTAGCAGTGAGTTGCTCCAGATGTCACACTAATCCACACCGTTAAGCCGTTTGTGTGTCATGGTAATGCACGTGTGTGTGTGTGTGTGTGTACATTGGAAAGAATGGGAGCATCCATTTTGTGTTTTATCACTCAAAACACAAGCTGGTGATGCTCTTGGAGGCAAATACTTGTTGCTGTCAGCGTGGTAACTAAATGAACTGGTTGTCTCTATTCATTTGCAGTGAACAATGTTAAATATCCTGGCTGCTGGTGTGGTGTTGTATGGCTAACTGACATGTTCTACATCCAATTTGTCACTTCGTGGCATGCACTGAAATATCTGCATGGACTTGTGATGATATAAACATGACACCTAGTTTCTTATTTCTTTATTTGTTCACCTCATTCACTCGGTTTCTTTGTCTTTCCCAGCCAACCACAGACGAGCTGGTCATGCAGTGACCAACATCCTGGCCAAAGAGCTGATGCAGGAAGACACGCCTTCATTCAGCAAAGTGCCCACTAAGAAGAAAAAGACAGAGGAGAAGGACGAGCCTGATCTAGGAGGAGCAGAGTCACTAGAGGAGTTACTGGAGGCTGCCACCCCTCGGTCCCATTAGGCAACCGGGGCAAGAGGTTTTTTTACTCAGAGGTCAGTGATATCCAAACACAGATGTATTTCGTAGCCATTCCAGGGGCCAATATCAATCCGAGATTACTTTACTGAAAAAAAAGGCAGAGACTCTCTGACCTTTGTCTTAACAGGACCATCATCATTAGGGTAGCATTGACTGCGTCTTCAAGGAGGACAGGGAGAGGCAGAGGATGAGGTCTGGGCTCTCATTTCAGCCATGACCCCTCGATGTCCCTCATCAACCTTTGGATCTTTGCCAATGTCATTATTAAGATTTAACTGCTTTCTTTTGCATGTGCACATATCTGTTCATGTATTTGGTTTTCTACATCACTTGAGTCACCTGTTATTCATTAAAGGGCATCTTGAGCAACTTTAAAGGCTTACTCAGGAGGGATCCACACTTCTTTTTTTTGTTGTTTGCGGTTATTTCCAAATCTTAAATTTAGACTGGGAATGTCTGGAATTTAGCATATCCTGCAGGTGCTTCAGAGTTTTCTCTGGATGTTCCAGGCCAAGACCACTTTGCGCTTTTTCACATTGTCTTTTTTTTAATCTATGAAACATATTGCTTTGTAATTGTCTGATATACTGTATGTTACTGTTTGTAAATGTTAATCATTTTGCTGTATTATTGAAAAACGTGCCAACCAATTGAAATCCAGTCTTTTCATTTCACTCCCAGATTTTGTCCAGTCACAGTTTGCACTGGCCTTGTGTGTGCAACATCACCTGGTAGTTTCACTGTATTTAGCTTTACTGAGAAGGGATTTAGTTCACTGGTGTGCATTCACAAGCTAAGCCATGTTACCACATGTGCCCACCACAGTTATATGAAGAAAGTCTGCTTACATACGTGAACATTCCCATAAACCCCAGAGGGAATAGAGTTACATTGGAGGAGAAAGTTCCTCCACAGTTAGTTATACCATAAAACTTAAAGGGGTGTTTCCATATAAAAAATACCTAGCCTGAGCAGTGTACATGCCTGTGTGCATATATATAAATAAATAATATCTAAGTGTGTGACGCTACCTATATTTAGTTTTGTGCGCATACATCAACTTCTTATATGTTTGTGCTTGTAGGTTTGAGTTTGTGCGTGTATGTTGCCATCTGTAATTACTGCATGGTACCGACCATGCTGTCATAAATGCTAGGTTTCATAAACAGCTTTGTGGTCTTGCTGCCGACGATATAGCACTGGAAAAATGCCCCAAAACTGCAGAGACAAGTAAGTGTGTGTTCAGTTATCTGTGTGTGTGTGTGTGTGTGTGTGTGTGTGTGTGTGTGTGTGTGTGTGTCTGTGTTCACCCATTTTCCCTCCCACTGAACTGCAGCAATTCCTGAATGTCTGGCCTTGCTCTTATTTGTATTCAGTAGCCATCAGCATACATGTTGCCATGATGTTGTGCTGTAATATCTGACAGGAATCCTGCCCGGTGATGTCAGCTGCTCCATGCAATATTTATTCCTATGCAAATACAATACTGTAGCCATCCCCAGCATGTAGTTACTATTCTTTATTAATCCACTGATTCAAGATTAGTGCTTCATATAGCTGGTGATTGAGAAAATTTTCATTTTAATCCAGTAACAGAATAATTAGGTGCAAATACTGCTGCGTGTGCTGTCAAGCACAACATATATCATAGACCAACTGCTGTTGAATGTTACACGATATTCTGCCCATCTCTTCAGGTGGACCGTGCCAGGTGATTCTGTGAGATACTAAAAATGGTTTTCAACTTTAAGGAGAAAGATTATAAAAGGATATCAAAACATCACTGGAATATTTTTTGTTTTCTAATTCGAGTCATTCCTTTTGTTAAGTAATTTTTTAAAGAGATTATTTTCTATGTGAATTTTTATGGTTGATTATTTTAATGTATTTGAATGGAGACATTTTGTTTTTTTGGTGATTGCTCTATGTATACAGAATAATGCACATAGTCAATCTGTTTGCTACACAGAACTATTAAAAATGTCTTAATTAATTTAATGATGTGACTGGCTCATTCTTTAGTCATGTCAGATTATATGTAACATGTTAAAAGTGTGAATGTGGTCAAATTTTAGTGTGTGTGTGATTTCTTGCTCCGTTGTATTCCTGTGTGTTTGCCAAAGTGAATTCCTTTGGTAGCACATTTCTCCCTACATCTTGCTTGCTCTTGTCCCTCCCTCTCATGTAGACACGTTGTGCAGTAAAACACCAGATAGTTTCTGCCTCTGTAAAACTCACATTTTATTGCCAAAAGACAGCAGAAGAATGAATAAACAGTGGATTTAGTTATTTTTACAGACAAATTCCAGGCTTTTCCATGGCTCCAGAGTTTCCAGATACATTTCCAACACTGATTACCAGTGTTCAGCACGATCCCTCATGTTAGACAGTTGACGCCCTAGGTTGTTTTCTCATCATTTGTGTCCCCGCTCCCTTTCTCTTCCAACCCTTCCGTCACCGTCACTAATACGGTATGACAACGTCCTCCTTCGCTCCAGTATCTCTTCCGCTTCCACTTCCGTCACTAGCATCTAAACTGACCGTGAAACTCCCAAAACACAGAAACTGTTCACCTTTTTTAGTTCATATTGATGTTTGTGTCAGTAAGCCTAAGGAATAAAATGGTTAAGTGAGGCCAGAGTGTTGAGATTTCCTGCAACTTTTAGAGTGATGCTAGCCCACTTTAGATGTTGTGACAGAGCACCCAGTTCACTCTGAGGAAACACACCTTCGTCTTCCATCTCACCATCTTGGACCTCTGTGTGCTCTCAGAGAGTAGATTAAACTGTCTGAATTCATGACTTGGTCAGCCTAGCCAGCACTGGCCTGCTCTGTGAATGTCCTGCTGTGTCATACCAGATACTCAAAATAGCTGGAGAAGTTTCCCAGGCCTCAGCTTTGTTCTGTCAGGTGAGTTGATCTTTTCTTTCCTTCCACATCTCGTGAATCATTGACAATTTCTGACAAGATATATACTCACTGACTGCAGCTTGTATAGACTGAAATGTTCTGTTTTTTATTTAAAACAAACAGACAAAAGCATCAACTATGTCCTTTGTTCTCTGGCCAGACTGTTAAGTTAAATCCCCCAGAAAAGTGAAGTCAAATTTGCACTCCTTTGCTCTGTGTACAGGCCAGTCTGTGGTAGTGAAAATCAGAATCATTTTATTGCCAGGTATGTGTACACATACGAGGAATTTTACTCTGGATTGTACATTGCTCACGATGTGCTTACTCATACAAAAATAAAATAAAATCAGACACAGACTTCAGTGTCGTCAACAACCAATATACACACTGTGAACAAAAACAATATAGACATATTGACAAATGGTGCAGTGAGCAGAGTGAAAAGGATGCAGTAGTATGTACATGTCGGAGGTGGATGTGATATACAGGTACATATACATGCATACATATACACAGTGCAATGAAGCATAGTGCAAAGGATGCTGGAATAAATAAATATTTTGTGCAGAGGTAATGACTTAAGGTATGTGGATTTGATATACAGTATCTACAATATAACCGTATGAACAGCACTGAAATAGAGAACGGTGAATAAATAATAAATGTTGGCCAGTAAACAGGTGGCTGATTAGAGGCAGAGTTACTGGGTTATTGCACAAGAATTGCTCCTGACACCATCAGTCAAAAATCAGCTGTTCATCAGAGTGATGGTTTGTGGGAAGAAACTGTTCCTGAGTCTGTTGGTTTTGGCGTACAGTGCTCTGTAGCACCTACCAGAGGGGAGAAGCTGGAACAGATTGTGTCCGGGGTGAGATGGATCTGCAGTGATGTTTCCTGCCCGTTTCCTGACTCTGGAAATGTTTAAGTCCTGAATGGAGGGCAGGTTGGCACCGACAATCTTTTCTGCAGTCCAGACTGTCCGTTGTAGTCTGTCCCTGTCCTTTTTGGTGGCAGATCCAAACCAGACAATGATGGACGTACAGAGGACAAACTGGATGATAGCTATGTAGAAGTGGATCAGCAGGTCCTTAGGCAGGTTGAGCTTCCTGAGCTGGCGCAGGAAGTACATCCTCTGCTGGGCCTTCTTGATGATGGTTGGGCTCCCACTTTAGGTCCTGGGAAATAGTGGATCCAAGAAACCAGAAGGATTCCACAGCAGACACAGGGCTGTTGAGTATGGTGATGGGGGACAGAGTGGGTGGGCTCTTCCTGAAGTCCACAATCCTCTCCACAGTTTTGAGCGTGTTAAGCTCCAGGTTGTCCCGGATGAGGCCAATAACCGTTAGACCAGATGAGGTCTCCTGAGGTGCAGTTGTTGGTGTAGAGGGAGAAGAGCACTGGGGAGAGCACACACCCCAGGGAAAGCTGAATGAAGCGCTCACACTCTGGATAATCTAATAAACATGAGGGTTTCATTCCAAACCTCTAAGCACGCCTACCTGAAGTTCACAGTTCAGTGTGTAATAATGTAGTAATATTAAATGTGACTAGTTTCTAATTTCAAGAACAATCCACAGTTGTGTTCTCAGGCCAGCAATGATTTTAGCATATTTGAACATTGTTTTAGTGCATAGATTTAGCTTCCTCCTCATTTTAAATGGAGCATTTATTTGTATTATCTTGTCTGACGTTATGGAGAGTTTGAGGAAATAATGACTTCTGTTTTTGGAAGTCATTTTGTGTCAAACTATCCATATCCATATCCATTTCCCACCAGCCTTTCTGTGCGCTGTGAATAAAGGCCTCTGCTCTTTACTGAACCTGAGCATCCTTTCAGCTCATTAACTGCCTTGTTAATTTAAGCATAAAGCCCTGACTTCCTTTCATCATTTACAATTGTTGTTTGAACACACACACGTAGGCCAAAGGACATTAATGAATGAAACACAAAGAAACTGGTGAATCAAGATGTCTGTGCATCATTTCTTTGTAGACTGTATAGTGTTATCCACATAAGGGTTGGAGGTTTGTGTATCTCTGGGTGGTAGAACTGTACAGGGGATGTCCTTGTTGTAGAATGGAAGAAGATTCATTCTTTTGATAAGTGCAGCTCAACAAATATTAGTAATAATAGCAAATAAGCATAAAACCTTTTAAATTACATTTTCCTGAAAACATATTTAAATCTGTGCATACACATTAGGCTATTTCATGTGTTAAATAGCTGCTTTGACAAAGTTGAAATATACCTTTAAAGTAAAGTAAGTGGGTTTATCCCTAAATCATTATGGCACACTGAGGACTTTTAGAGCATAAAACATGCTTTGCCTTCACTTCAAATCACATGTATTTCATAATATTTGCCTACAAGGCTTTAATTATGTTTTAAGGTAAACGGATATATTATTTTAACCTTATGTGTACTACTTTTATCAAAATGACTACAAAACACCCATGAATGTTACTGCCTTAGATATTTCAAGATTTTATTGCAGGCACTTCTCTGAAATAACCCCAGGTGTTTTATTTACCATTAAGAGAACCAAATATACACATAAATAATGTGTGATGACACCAGCCAGTAAACCCGCATTGTCAGCAGTTTAAATGACACAATAATTTAATTTCTGGTCATTCATATAGGCAATTGCAAATTTTGCCCTTTTTTAATTACACTTAATTTGCAGCAAAACTCTGTCTAGTACATCACAGGAAATGTAGGAATGTTCACCATAGTTTATACATCCACATGCAGGTTCATGTTTTGTTTTCTTTTAACTTGTTGACACAGTTGTTGTATAAAGTTTTCTCTTCGTTACTCCTTCTCTCTTCACTCAGCGTCACCCTCCGTTTAAAGAGGAACTTACATGAGATAACATAAAGCTTTTGATCATATGCCAACTGTGGATCATATGATTTGCTTCTAAATGAAGGGATTCAGGAGGCTTTTAAAATCAAGGTTTTAACAAACAGATGAGTTTTATTGTTACACAATAAAAAGGAAACGGTATCATAAAGGGGTATCTTCTTAAATCTGAAGAAGAGCGCTCATGTGACTTCAAGAGTTTGGGAAAGTGGGAGGGAGAGGGTGGGAGTTGCAATTAAAAACAGTGGGGAGGTTTGAGAATGAATGAAATCAACATATAGTAGAGCAGATGAAAGAGGTTTGGGGAACGAAACAGTGAGTAGATGGGAAGGAAGTCTGGCGATGATGAAGTGATTAGCTGACAAAAGTGGAGTTCTCTGGATTAAAAAGCTGTAGACTTTGTTTACTCCAACAGCACTGTGAGAGCTTCTCAGAATAGAAAACCTTCGTGCGTGCGTCTGCGTGAGTTTGTTTAGCACATTTGCTCCATTGAGTAGATGTAGCCTATGGGTGTGTCTGAATGTGTGTTTATAGTCCGTTACACTCATGCTTGTGTTTACACACCACACGTGGCTGTGTAACAATGTGAGCACATCCTGTTCATGTTTGCCACAGGCAACTGTAAGAAGAGAGAAAGCCAACTCTGTTTCTGTATTTTAAGTTTTATTGCACAGAAGAGTTAAGCAAGACAGGACAAAGTTATCTGACACAATAGATTGAGAGGCTTGTCATCATAGTCAATGACCGTTCTTCAGTATGTCTATTAAAGGTCCTTATTATGACTGATTAGACCCCAATAAACTATGTTGTGTCATCCTGCTGGCAGTGTTTCTGCAGAGCCATATCTAAACATTTTCCCCACCATGAGGGTGACGTTTTTAGTAGTTTTTAGTGAAATGTTTGGATAAACTATTAGATGGATTGCCATGCATTTTGACATTTCACCACGAAAAACACATTCATATTCTTTTTAGGACTTATCATTAAAAATAATCCCCTGACTTTTCATGAAGCATCATCATCAGGTTAACATTTAAATCTGTCAACTTTCGGGGTTTTTGACCAATTGCCTGCAAGACTAGTGGCATTCCCAGAAGCGATTTTTTATTTTTTTTTTGATAGTTGTGGGTTTGATCATGTTAAGGTCAGGTCAAGGATATAGGACAAATTGTGGTGGGATCTATAATGATGTCTCATTACTATGAGTTTCAGGTCCTCCTGA